CCAGTTCATTGTGCAACACTTCATGTTTCGCATCATCTTGAACTTCATTATAAAAGTCAAATGTCAAAAGACATGAATGAAATAAATCATGTATTAGAAGATACATGTTTAAGTACTGAAAAACAAAGTCAATTGTATTCCAAATTCAAGACTACGAACAATAGTGATATGGCGGTTCGAAACAAATATTTCAATGAACCTTGTCATTAGGACAAAGGAAAAAAACATCATTAATATCATTTGTTTTCGTTCAACGATTACTAATGTTTGACATGATCATTCATTGGTTTTATCTTTTCTTCGGACAATTTTTTTAATTCTTTTTCTTAAATTTATTGTACAAAAACCACATATAATGAAATGTAATTTTTTTCATATATATCAAAAGAAAGAGAAAAAAATTAAATCCATGTTATAAATTATCAAATAAATATCATTAGTTTTTATCCATTTTCTATCATACGTACGTTGACAGAAGATTACGTTTAGCTTAGTACTGTTCGATGCTGCCAAATTCCTCTGTATTATGTTCTATATACATGTATTTCTTTTTAATTCATTTGTTCCTCTTGGATGGGGGTGGGCGTCGTCTGTTCTTTACATCCACACCCACACCCTTTTGAGATTTTTCATACCTCCCTGAAGTCCACCTTATGCATAAACTCCTAACTCAAAAACGATTAATCACCTGACATAGTTCCCTCGTAAGTGAAAATAGAAGAAGTTTGCCATGAAATTTTTGATCAGAAAAGAAAGGTGAACCAAACAGATTGACATATTGGTGAGTTTCGATGGATTTTGCAATTCTTGAGATGGGTGTTTTTTCAGATTAATGGTAGATTACTAAAAAAAAAACTTAGTGACTTTTGCTTGATTATCGTAAATTCTGATTTATTTAGTAGATTAAAGTTTTCATATATTCCGATAAATCTGTTTGGCCATCAATTTAGTCTTCAACCGAATAGGACTAGAACCTATTTTGTTTCCTTTTTTAATATATTATTAGATAAAATAACGTTTATACTTTTTGTTCGTTTGATTTTTGAGAAAATAAAGTATTTTAGAAAATATTCCTTTATGCCTTCCTTTTGCTTCTTGTTCACTACCACTCTTAAGGAAAAAATTATCTTCTTTCCTTCTACCATAAATATATACACTGTTCAAGATCTTGATAACCACGTCTTTCAGCAATGTCTATCTTCTAATACGTTGAGAATCTTTGTGAAATGATAAGTTCAAGAATTTTCCTTATATAGTTTCAGTCAATGTCTTTTATCTGAACTGTTTGATGACAATCTTGACGTTTATCCGTTGCAGGTATTCCATAAAAAGATCATCGATTACTTGTTCTCACAATTTGAAAATCTCTTTGTTTTGTTAAATCTCACACAAAGAAAGTTCGTCAATATCGTTTAAAATCTTTTGCTTGTCACTCTAACCAATGAATATAAATTAACTAAAAATGAAGATGAACAAATCACAGTTGCTGATTATTTTCATAATAGATGAAATATTTCTTTACAGCATCGACATTTACCTGTTGTTGAATTGTATATATAATTCAACTGATAAAAATCAATCATTTTCTTTTTATCAATGGAATTAGTTATTATTGATGAATGACAACAAAATTAGAAAGCATTAACCAGTGAACAATATGCTAAAGTAACAAAACAAAAATCTCTTGTTCGTCTTGATGAACGTTATAAAATGATTTGCAGTGTTGTTGATGAATGTCAACTTAATAATGATTCATATTTAGAAAAATGTTGTCTTATTGTTAATGTTAATGTTTTCAGCTAGAATATTACTATTACCAAAAATCAAATATAAATCATCATGTGGTGTAATCAAGCTGATATTATAGAAACGAATACAAATTGGTAAATGATGATTAAATAATCGTTTTAAGAAAACACGTGCAAAACACACATGGAATATTAGTTCTTGTTAGTCAGCATGAATCAGATAACCGACGAAGTCATTTAATAAAAGATTTTGCTAGTAGAATTTCAAAGATTTTAATTCATTTTATCAAATAAATAAAAAATCTCTTTCTGTTCTTTTATTAAAGGCCATGTTAAAATATTGTATTCAATTTAATTTATCATCTATTGAGAAATTTGAAGCTGGTGTACCGCAAACAATTTTAGTTCATATGAATGAACTTAAAATGTAAGGATGTGGAGTTATTCTTTATATTCTTCATCAAGTTGAAGATGACATTTATAATCTAATTCAATTTTTTGAAAATCTAAAAATTTATAAGATTTATTTGTATTATATACATGAGACAATTACTGTTCTTGTCAAATAAGTACACTAATACATTTGAAAAATCGTATGAAATTTATAGTTTAATAACAGATGTCAATGTTTTTTTCAGAAAACATAAACTTATGATTCTCGATAGAGAGATCTCGACCGATAGATCAACAAAACCTCAATTTCCTCTTTTGAAATATCTACTTAACATTTAAAATACAACAATTTTGCACTTGACATTAAGTTGTCAGCGTCCTCGAACGTAACAATAAACAAGGGTATTTAAAAAAACAATTCGACATTATCAAAAATGAAAAGATTTATTAATTGTTTTTATCGACACATATGCAACTACATGTTGAATAATAAGAGACGGAAAAGGTTATTCTTCGATCGATTATTCATTCATTGATCGGCAGTTTAGACTGTACAAAAATATATCATTGTTTGTATTGACGATATTAGTCAAATTGAAGACATCAGTATATATATATATATATATACAGGCAATGCAAAAAAAGATCATACGTGAAAATAAACATGAACGATTCAATTATTCAGCTGAGTGATTTACCTGATGAAATTCTTATGATTATTTTGAAAAAATTGCACAATTCTTATGTGCTCTATTCTTTAATAGGTGTTAATAAACGACTTGATACTATTGCGAAAGATTCAATTTTTACAGAATATTTAACATTAATTCCACCTTTCAACGGCTTAAATGAATTTACTGATACAATACTTGATCGGTTTTGTTCTGAAGTTTTACCTAAAATTCATCATAAAATCGAATGGCTCAATACTGAATCATTATATATAGAACGTATTCTTCTTGCAACAAATTATCCTGTTTTACATGGTCTTGGTTTATATGATCTTGCATCAGAAGTGGCTCGAAATCTCTTTACTGGTAAGATATTTTCTTCAATGCTTTCAATGATTAATTATATGAAAATACTAAAATAATTTATCTGAATATATACTTTACACAATCATAATTTGATTTATGACGGATATTTTCTTGATATAATAGTTTCGTTACTAATATTTATCGATAAATAGGAATTTGAAAATGATTCAAAATGAATCAAGAGCGAAAAAGCGAGACTTCACACTCCGAAGTACAGGTAAAGGATAGTTGGAGTACAGTGTAATACACTTCAGTTGTACATCGGGGTAGATAGTCTTGCGTTTCTTTCCCTTGAAAGAAATAACATCACCTGTAAGAAAATTCAAATACTGTTTTATAATGTTTTCGATTGAAATTCTGTGATTATTAAAGTAGAAAGTCTATAGTATAAAATCAATGATCAAGATAAAAGAAAAAACACATTGATGATACAATATATCTGTTAGAGAATTTGAATAAAGATAACATAAAACTAATTTATTAATGAAGAAAAGAGATTAGAATATTTTGAGTTAACTAAAAAGTAATTTCATAGAAATATTCAATGTTTATTTAGATAGAAGTTTTTTAATTCGTATTTTCAAAAACCAAATTTTATCACTTGTTATCCATATTAATAAATGTCAAGAATCAAGCAGTTCAATCAAAGATATAAATACATTTATATATACCCAAATCTTAATCATGTTCAAGAATTTACGATATTTAAATTTCGGTCCAAATGCTTCTGACTATCATCAATTAACATTTGGTGTATCACCTCCAAATGTTTTCTCTTCAATTCTATTAGATTTGTGTGTCGTGGTAGACTCATATGCAGATTGTCTTTATTTACTTGATGGTCGTTTCCATCAACTTAAAACGTTCTATGTTACCATTTGTTCATCTGATGTTTCTTCACTACCGTTAATCAATAGTGAAGTGAGTAATTGATATTAAATATTTTTTTGGAATGAATAAATAATACTTATATTTATTAACTGTCGTTTTGTTTTCTAGAAGAAAAAACTTTCGAATTTAAAATGCTTTATGTTAACTCATAAATCGGTGTTATTGATCTACAATACTTTTCTTATTCCACTTTTACATCGAATGTCAAACTTAGAAGAACTCAGTTTATATTTTGTTAATCATGATACACCAATTATTGATGGTAATAATTTGGAAATGAATATTATGAATTATATGAGAAAATTAAAGGAATTCAAATTTAATATTCGTTCAGTTACTCCTTTTAATAATCAAGTTAATTTACCATCAAATGATGATATTAAAAACACATTTAAAAATTTTAAGAACAATCAAATTATTTCATCTATTGATTATTTTCCAAAAGCAAATGAATTTCATTGTCATATCTATTCATATCCATATACATTGATGTATTACGATAATATAAGCAACAATTTTCGTGGTGGATTATTTAAATGTGTTCGTAAAATATCATTATTTGATGAACGTCCTTTCGAACATGAATTTTTTCTTCGACTTTCTCAATCATTTCCATTTATGACACAATTAGTTTTACATAATCGAGAATCGCAAAAGAATGACAATCAACAACGGTCAATCATTGAATATTTTCATCTTATTATACTTGATCTTCTTCAAGCTCATGAAAATTATGTCGAACAATTTTTTAATAATTCTAAAATGTGTTTATTAAATAATATTCATCTTCATGTGGATTATAATACCTTACAGAGAGTAACAGACAATTTTACAAGTGATGCAACACGAATGAATTGTTTCAAAATCGTATGTCTAATTTTATACAATAAACCAGAATTATGTCTAGATTTAAAAGACTATTTTCCTCATGCAGAAATTCGTTGATTATTGTTGTTTATGATTTGAATAAAATTTGGAATATGAACGAAACGATGTTGTTTAATATTTTATAGGAAAAAGATAAAGTTATTATATCTTTGAAAGAGATAAGATACGAGTTATGTCAGTAATAAATAAGTTATTTTGCAAGAGAGAAGTAAAATTTACCTAGAATTACAGTTGTCGATCGAATTAAGTGTTATTGTAAATTATATAAACTAAATAAAATACCTTGCTTTTATTCTCAAAATCTATTTAAGTATTCATATTGCTTGGACTGTAAGGATAGGTTCTAGAAATGAGAAATTACCTGTATCCATCTGTCTGTCTGCTTGTAAGATAGGCCAGAGTACGGTATTCGCTACGTTATAAGGGTAAATTGTAGAAACAAAAATTCATCTGTTTTCTCTTATCTGTCTATTCTTCATTAACATGCTGGTTCACAATGACTGTAGTGTGTCCTGTGAATGCAAATGAGCATTCATTTAGTTGTTCAACAAGATTTACTTGATTGATTAGCTGTGTATAAGTATTACTGAGTATACAAGTAATTAATCGTTGAAAACTAATCAGTCATTTTGAAGGTAGAATTATACTAAACAAAATTCATATTTTATGAATAATAACGTTTTTTTTTAAGAGACATCTCGTGAGAAAACCAAGAATGTTTAGATATCGAAAAACATGTGGATTAGTAGATTCTAAATGTGAGTGTACAGGAAGCTAGGCCTAAAATGTACCATATATGAATCTAAAATATTATAGTCTAAAGATTTATCTCGCATCTGCTAGGGCAAGCTGATCCGAAACACCCTCAAAAAGCTTGTCAGCACAGCCCCTTTGGGGCTGAAATGTGGAACTCATATATCTTCTTTAATTTATTATACTAATGACAAAATACAGTGTTTAAATGGTGTGCTGGAAAAATGTCGAAAGGAAAAATATCGAAAGGAAAAATGCCGAAAGGAAAAATGTCGAAACGTACATATTAAAGTGGAAAATTGTCGAAAGTAAAAAATAAAAAAATAATCATGTCTCTAGTATACGGCGATTCTAATCACATTTCGTTCATCGTTTTTCCTTATGATTTTACTAGTGTAGAATTTTAGCTAGTACTGATAGGGATGATTAACTATTGATAAAAGTAAAATAAAAGAGTTGAACAAAGAATTATTATATAGCTAAAATTGTACTGTTATGGCTGAAGCTTTCGTAACTTTAACTGGTGAAATTCAAGCAAAATCTCGAGCTATTTCATTTATAAATTCAAATAAAGGAAAACCTCTACTACTATCGGAATTTTAAAAGATGGCCGGTGGAAAAAAACTTATAATTTTTCAACGAAAAGCCAAAGCGACCTGCGGTTTTC